TCATTCTCTTGATTTCTTTAGGAAAAAACAATAAAAAGATACACAGAGCCTTATGAAACACTAATGATTCACTGTAACAAAGTATATGAATGTGATTTCCAGTAAGAGAAGTTTTGATACCAATCACCATATAAAATTAATAGTTTATTTGTGAAGTCCAAAGGTCAAGTCATTCCTATTTGTCAAAGAAGAAAGAAGTATTTCCAAATGGTAAATGCAGGAGAAATGCTTTATCATTATTGTTCTTTAATTATTACTGAAAGGCTTTTCCTGTGTAATATTGCAGCAATCAAACAAGCTTTTCTAAGTCATATATGATCAAAAGCAATATAGCCACACTGTTATTCAACAGATTAATATTTTGAATTTACTTTTAAAATCTGTGAGTGCAATTGTTTTGGAATAGTTGTTTGAATATCTAGTATGATAGAATTTTAAAGCTGGAAGGTGTACCACATACCATCTGATCCAAACCCCTTGGTTCACCGACATGCAGTCTGAGCGTCTGTACTATACTTTAACCCTGGTGGTCCAGACAGGATGAAAACTCACTGTCTTGATTCCTAGCTTGATATTCTTTCCATTACCTTTGGTAGTTACTTTACCAGAATGTATTTGGAATTAAATATTTTCAGTCTGTTTGGTGAAGTGTTTTAGGTTCACTTGCACCAGCATTATATAGCAGGATAGGAACAGATAGTTTGTCTGGTACAGAGACAATAGACTTTGTGCAATTATTTGCTTTCTGTATCTTTGTTTTCTTAATTTATTATCATCCAGATAAGATCAGTTAAAAATAACAGGACTTTGGTTTCTTTTTTTAATAAATGTGTTTAGGGTGTCTTATGTGTACTTATTGTATTAAGAGACTGCATATCTTTTACCACATGACACTAGAAATAGGACTGTATGCTGCTTTATTCCTCTCATGAAATAAGAGTCCCAATGTCAGTACTGATCAAGGAATAATTTGATCTTTAATAAATGTTTAGAATTTATTGTTAAATTCGGCTTTCTACTAACATTTTTATATGCTCTTTTTTTTCTATTTTAATAATAAAAATCAAATACTCCTTAATTAACATTAAAATGAGACTTTCTTAAAGTTTATTTCATTTGTTAAAGGATTCCTGAGGAGACAATGGGGGGAGCCATGCCCAGAGGCTGGCCATCTGCCAGCACACTGATGCTCAAGTGCATGGTGGTTGACAACAGGGGAGTGGGCAAAGACAGGCTCCTCATGGGCTAGGCCAGCAGCGCCTTCCTGGAAGAGGACGTGCTTTCTTGTTCAACCACTACGCGGTCATCACCGCCTCACGAGGCAAGCAGTACCTCCTGGCATTCTCGGACACAGCCAGACAAGAAGACTGGATGATCTGCAGCCTTACCTTATCCAGTGACTGAGGTCTTCCTTATATGTTCCTCTGTGGCAAACCTAGCCTCATTTTGGAATGTAAAAGAAGAGTGGGTGCCAGACGTAAAGAATATACACCAAATCTACCCTTTTTATTAATGGCAACTCATATTGATCTCTAAGGTGACCCCAAAACTTCAACAAGACTGAATGATATGAAAGAAAAACCAGTATATGTGTGGAACAAAGACGGAAACTACAAGAGATAAGAGCATACTTTGTGAAAGGTTCAGCTTTAACCCAGAAGGGATTGAAGACTTGATGAGGCTATCAGTTTTGATGAGGTTATCAATAGCTATTTTAACTCCAAAGAAATACACAGGAAAAAAAAATACAGTCGAGATGTATAAACTACTGTTCAGTTACATGAGATATCTTTAATGGCAAAGGAAATGGTTCATTTCTCTCAGAAAGCATATGAAATTCTGCAGCTATACCCAGATCTCTTATTAGTAATGAAACAGTTTAAAATTTAAAAGAAGAAAAAAAAAGACTCTGTCCTCATGTGGATAAAGTGAAGGTTCCTGTGGCCAGGTTCTCGCCTGGCCCTGGTTGGCTAGCTCACTACAACACGTGTGGGCAATGCGTCGTTATTGTGGGCAGTGCACTGGGCGATACGGTGGCACGGCTGCAAGTCTACAGGAGAGCAGAGCAGAGGCTGGAGTGGTGGCAGCGCCGAGGAGAGAGGCCCAGAAGACGGCTGTGCAGGCAGAGAGGCCAGAGGCAAGAGACTGGCTTGCTGCATGCAGACTCGCTCTTAGTGGACAAGATTCTAGTGATTAACCTGCCACCATGGAAGTAAAGTTGGGTATAACCCTTTCACCCCAAGAACGTTCTACTGTCACTTCTTTGGTCACATTGAATCAATAGTGAACTTGCCCAGGACTAAAACCCATTGGCAACACCTCAGATTTCTATAATATTCATCAAGAAGTGTTTCCTAAACATCCAAGAAACAGCAAATAGCATCTGCAGCCACAAATCAGTTATTAATACTTTATTTCAACTAGAAGGTACAATCACAGTGGGTTCCATAGTTTAAAAAGCTACATCACATTATGTTGTAAGTACATAAAAAACAGTGCTATAAATGAAACTGCCTGGTTTAGACCATACAAAGATATTTCTGCAGTTCTTACAGAATCTGCACAAGGAAATATCTTCTCCCTTTGCTCAATTAATTGTTCTTGTATGTAAATTGCTTTCTATTACAGTATATCGATAGTGGTAAAATAACAAGGCCAGCTACATAGCCAAAGGTAACTCCAAGCATATAAGAGATGGGCTATGTATGAGGAGAAAATGTTTAAAATCAAAAAAAGAACAAATGTTTTCTTACCACTTAAGCACAGGTTTACCTAAATACTTTGATACTAAAGCTTAATGTACTTTCTTAAAGAATGCCAGAAGTTCAATAAGGTGATAACTGCATTTATCATGGACACTAAAAATGCATGCATTTTAGTTAATGGTACAAAGGCTTTAACTGTACAAAGGCTTCTGGCAAAAAAATAATATAATTACTAAGATATTACTTTTTGTTTCACCTTATATTGGAAGTTGGTAATAATCCTGCCAATAACCATAAGAATTGCCTCTAATAAGTCTATGGCTGAGTAATTGATCTGTACATGCATGGGGTAGAACTCTATGAGGAAATTTTTATCCGAAGTGTAGACTGCAAAACAGAATGAGAATAATTCACATTCCTGACAGCCAGAATGAGAAAACCTAATATATGTTGCATCAGGTAGAATTATCAGAAGGATCACACCCTGGTAGTACAGTTTATTGAGCCCTAGAGTAAAGTCTTCCTGAATCTGCTCTAACAAAACTTAAAAGCAAACCTGGAAAGGGTCAAACTGATCTCATGTAACTGATGCCAGAAGAGGGTTCAATACTCTAAAAGAACACAAAAAAAATCCATTCACCAATGTAAAGTTTACATATATTAGTTTCCTAGGGCTGTTTTAACAAATTACCACAAATTTGCCATGGCTTACAATAATAGAAATTTATTCTTTCACTGTCTGGAAACCAGCAATTTAAAATCAAGTAAGGAGCAAGAAGGAAGGTAGTAGGATCCAGAAGCCACTTTGGCTGCAAATGGTGCAAAGTTCCCCAGTGACCATGGACCCAGCTGTAACAGTGCTGGAGGAGAAAGTGCTTAGGTATATGGGTTTGTTCAACATAATTTAGCTTGTTGGATGACTTGGGGCCATTATGAATATTGATTTTTTAAATTGTATTATAGATAAAGTTGTAAGGAACATTTGCTGACAAACACTACTGGCTAACATTCCTTCAGTAAACTGATTTCAAGAACCATTGAGACAACGATAATAATGAAAAATCTCTCAGAAGATAATGTACATTGGAATTCATTTAAATGTCTTATAACAGCCTGGCAGACTGCTTAAACCAAGAAATAGTATCTGGCAAGCACTGCTATAAAGACAAAAATGTATGTACAAAAAAAAACTTGCCAGGGGCACTTCCACCATGATTATACCCAAGCAACTTAACAACTTTTGAGAAAGAAGAAACTCTGTTTAAAATACGTGAATAATGGTCAAATTTGAACAGGTAGGTTTTGTGGAACATTTCATTTCCTAGACCTGTCATTACCAACTTGGACATAGAAATTCAGCTGTTAAACTTCTGTTGCAGAAAGATTTCATAACTGCTCTCTCAGCTCAAGATTCAAATCATATTGCTGAGAATATTCTGTCATACCTATATGCCAGACCACTGTGTGCAAGGGATGGTATGCTGAAGAAGATACTCATCAAAGAGTGGTCCAGACAGATTTTCTATGACAACATCTACCAGAATAGGGAGAAAATAGAAATAGTATTATTTCAAAACAAACCTCTTTGATGGGATTGTTTCCCGACTTTTTTATAGAGCTTTACTTTACCCTAAAACAGTAAAACAATAACAATCTAATTGGAGATGAGGAAGGCGTAATTTATGCAGTATCTATCACCAAATTAAAACAAGCTGAGAAGTTTACTGCACATACTGTGTTGCCCAGAAGTGAGAAAGGTGTCTTCAAAAATGAAATAATAACACACACTGGAATACAAGCAGATTCTTATGAGCCATGTGGCTTTTGTTGTGTGCCTTCAGTATGATGAGAGAATGGTCATAACTCCACTGCCAGAATGTGGACTCTTGGCATGTGAAACACGCTGATTTCTCACTGTATAACAATTTTGCATTTACATGTCAGTAATGCTATGATGGTGACATGCTCCAAGGACTGTTCCTTTGTTTTGGGGGACATAGCCTCCCCAACCATTACCCTCCTAAGGATGTTGGTTGTGGAGTTTTTTGACAAGAACATTGTTTTTACATCAGGAGATGATATTATAGTGTGGAACACAGTACTGTAAACTGGTAAAGACCTAAAATGGATACAAGTGAGGCATTGTCCATTTGCAGTGTCATGACAGGCTGATAGTGAGTGATTAATCTAACACTGTCAGGTTGTAGAACTGTATTAGTCTGCCAGGGCTGCCATAACAAAATACCATGGACTAGGTGATTTAAACAACAGAAATTTATTTGCTTACGGTTCTAAAGTCCAAGATCAAGGAGCCAGTCGACTGGTTCCTCCTGAGGCTTCTCTCCTTGGCTTCCAGACAGCCACCTTCACCCTGTGTCCTCAAATGGCCTTTTTCACTGTGCATAGGTGCTCCTGGCATTTCATCTTTTTGTAAGGACACCAGTTTCAGTGGATTAGGGCCCCATCCATTTGACCTCATTTAACTTTAATTACCTTTTTAAAGGCCCTATCTCCCAATACAGTCACATTGATGGTTAGGGCTTCAACCTGTGGATTTTGGGGAGGGACACAATTCAGTCTGTAACAGGGACATGGAGTATGGAACATGTTTACGAGGTTACCAGGACTGGTGGGCCATGTGAGATTAGTGTGCTATGTTTGATTGTATTTGAGAATAATCAGTGTGTACTTTAATAGGAAAATTGTAATGTAGAATCTTATAGATCTTTTGGATCCCTGTACCTCTGAAGGGACTCTACAGACCCTGGTGGAAAATTCAGAAGCGGTTTTCTGACTCCAGTTTGGTGAATTCCAGAATGTCAGTAGTCCACACAAAGACACAAACCTGATATGGGACTTCTAATGATTCTGTTGCCCAAGCTGAATCTCTCCTGCTCTTCTTCCTAGCAGCCACCTCTGTCTCTGGATAAATAAACATACACTGACTTAATATTTGTTTAAGATTCATCAAAGTTAAACTGTTTGATGTACCAGAATGAAGAATAGCAGAAACAAATCCCCACACAGTTTTCTGAGACTGGGTTTCATATGTCAGGGGAAGAGCACAGTGGGCCTGCAGGTGACCCTGAATAGTTGGTCTTCTCAGCACAGCTGACTGCGTAAGTGCTACTATCTGAAAATGTGTCTTATCTCTCATGACAGATTAGGTTCTCTTGTCCCTCCTTTTTTCTCTGCTGCTTCTTCCCCATATTTGATTCTAGAGGTAATGCATTTAATTTTTTTTTAAGTGAAAGAAAACAGAGTTTAAGTCCTGATTCTGCCACTTATTAGTTTACTTGACTTTAGGCAAGTTACTAAATTTCTTTGTACATCAAATTCCTCATTTATAAAATTGAAATAAGAATTTATGCCCTCACAGGATTTTCATAAAGATTGAGTAAGATAAGTTACATAAGCAACTAGCGTGGTACCTAGAATGTGGCAGACGCTCAGAACATTTTAATAAGCTTCCTTCTTCGAAGATAGTGGCAGGTAGGAAAATAAAGAGGAGGTTTGGAGAATGAAGAACAAAGGGAAAAGTTAAAAAGTTCCACTTTTAAAAATATAAGTGATTTGGCATCATTATCTAAAAGTTATAAAAGATATGTCAACTTTAAACAACATCCTGCATAGCATCGTATCAGTTAGGGACTTAACTAAGCAGTTAAGTAGGCATTGCATTTGTACTATTTTAATGAAATTAGCATTACTGACCTTATACCATATAGTGAGAGCAGTTAATTCCAGATTTATCTTTTAAATTCTCCTGGTTAATGTGTTAACAAATTTTGTAAATTAATTAAAACGTGCCAGAAAGAATTTTGTGAACTCTTACGGACTCCCCTGCTTAAAATGTGTCCCTGTCCCATTGCCCATGTTGTAAGTTTCAACTCTTTCAGCATGTATAATCTAGCCCCTGCTTACTTGTGTAATCACAGCTTCTCCCCACCCTTCTATTTAGGCTTCTACTTCTAATACCAGACTCCATATTGAACTATTTGTGGTTTTCTTCCAAACTCTCACACACGTGATACAGTCTGCTTGAGACATACTTTGCATCTCTTCACCTGGGTGATACTTGACTATCTTTTATTCTCCTGCAAAACCTAAATGAGGCATGCCTTCTAGAAATTATCCTATTCATCATTGTCTGTTTAGCCCCTAGAACAGTACCAGTACGTTAGTAATACTTGTTAAGTGAATGAATAGGTAAAAACACAAAGAATTAATGATAATTTTCCATTACATGTGTAGCTGTATAACCTGTAAATTTTCAAATAGTATTTAATTAGAAAAAAAGTAGAGGTGCTTTATTCTCCAGTGTACATATTATGCCCTTCTTTATATAATACATCACATCTAAAATGGGTTGAAGTCTTCCTTCTTATAATGCTATGGGATTTATAAATGCCTGTGCAGCCATTCATTTTGATTTTGGTTTTTCAAAAAAAAAAAATCAAACACAGTGACTACTGTAACAACAGAAAAGAAGATTCTCCTAAAAAAGCTTTTCTTCTTAAATTTGTATCTAATGAAAATAAGTTTATAAGGGTATTTTTAAAGGTAATCAAAATATTTAGATTGTTGATATGAAATACCAAAAACTATACATATGTAGAAAAATGTATCTCAAAAAGAGACATTAACATAAAGCAGTGAAGTTATATAATCAGTTTGTTCCATTTAGCTTTTCCTTTTTGTAAAATTGTTGGCATTCTGAAGAATTTTTTTTTCAGATGCAGCTGCTTTTAGCCAGAGACTGGGATCTAGTGGTAGTATAAAACAATTCTAAGAAAGTGAATGGTGTGTGAGCATTTTTTTTATTTGCTTCACAAGTAATTTACTTTAAAAAAAAATTAACATCTGCTATTTTGAAGCTAATCTTAGTGTATTGAATGCTCTTAACCATTTCTCAATCCCACAGTCTTTTATCTTGCTTCTCCTGCTGTGTTCCCACCACCCCTGATCCCATTAGCAAACCTTGAGACAGCCTCAGACTTACCAAAGTACTGCTTTGGTTTCAGCTGCTCTTCTGCAAGAGGAAGTGAATGTTGGGGGTTTTCTCTGTGGTACAGTTGTGATAAAGCTGTGGTGGTCTTATCTCTCTCTTAGGTAGTGGCTCTTTATGACTACACAGCGAATCGATCAGATGAACTCACCATCCATCGCGGAGACATTATCCGAGTGTTTTTCAAAGATAATGAAGACTGGTGGTATGGCAGCATAGGAAAGGGACAGGAAGGTTATTTTCCAGCTAATCATGTGGCTAGTGAAAGTAAGTTTCACACTCCCTTCCTGGTTTACTAATATGGTATCACTGATAGTCCAAGATTTTATCATTTTCTTCCCTTTTAATTTACTGTTTGTAACTTTTACAGATGTTTACCAATATGTATTCCTTTTCATTCTCAGGATGCAAAAAAATAAAAGGGGGGGAGGCACTACTATGACTACAAACCTACTACATTCTGAGATTGCAATATTTGCTTCAAGGACTTCTCATCCCAGGTGACTTGCCCATCCACCAACCTTCTTCAACCCCTTTTGCCTGCCAACTGCTTCGTGCCTGCTTATGTCAGCTCTTCTCCTGCCACAGTGACTCCTCAGTGGACAGGCACCTTAAGAACCTCTAGTTCCCCAGTTCCCATTCTTTCACTTTGTAGACCTCAGTCCTAGCTTGTCCCTGCTAAAACAAAACTACAGTAGAGTATTCATGATCCAGTAAATTAAGCCCTCACAACTGAGGAAGAAGAAAGGAGCTGGAGAAGAAATCCTCAATATGAGTTTCTGAAAGCTAGTAAATTTACTACTAGGACTTGAGAGGTGAAAATAGAACTAACAGAGCCTGAGAATAAAATAGTTTAAAGACTCTGAGGAAAGGGAAGAAGTATGGCAGTGTGCCTTCAGCAGATGCTTCCTATTAGAAATTAACTTGCTGCTGGGGAGGAAAAAGCACAACACTCAGGAGTCAGGAGTTCTAATCCTAGCTTGAGGACTAGTACCAATATGCCTCAGTTTCTTCCTATATAAAATGAGGATATTAAGCTTGATGATCTCTAAGCTTTCTTCCAGAAACACTATAATCATATAGTTGTGATTTAAAATGTAGTATAGGCAGTCTTGAGAACATCCTGTATGTCAAACATTTATTAAGTCTTTTGTTTCTGCAAAGAAGTAATTACTAGAAATAATAGTTGATGTTCAGTCTAGTCTGTGAAACTTCATTTAACCCAAACTATGGCTAAACAAAGGTACTATTGACTCCTAACCTAAGTTCTGGATTTTAGGAGCAAAAGAGATGAAAGGAGGAAGAATTTCTTCCATGAATATTGGTTGCTGGGCCAGGTTCCAGATGAAAGTATTTCTCTTTGGCACAGCCTCCCCCACCCTGTCTGCACCCAGGGCTCCCCGACCCAGTCTCTTAAGACTCTAAGCCTCCTTTCCTCAGCTCATCTGCTGCTCTCAGCACACTCCTTCCCTCAAAAGTGCTGTGTGTCAAAAATTACCCACTTTTCTCTCTCATAACAAAATTCTAAATTTTCTCTGTGCCACTGTTTTCTTTCCCTCTGAGTAGTAAACAGCTGACAGCTCTTAAACTCTAGCTGACTCTATTTTTATGTTTAAAAGAATATACATAGTGGAGAAAACTTGCAGCAGTGTGGGAGAAGGAAATTTTAGGACAGGTTAATTCCTAGTCGTCTCTCATAAACTGAGCACTTCTAACTTACAGATGATCACAGATACCCAAGCTCCTTCCCTCCTCTTTCCGGTGATGGCTTTCTCACAGGATCAACAACTAGAGTTCAGAAGGGTAGCTTCTGTTTTTAAACCAAGAGCTGCCTGCACAATTGCAGTCACTTTGGATAGCTCTAATTTAACTGGACATTTACAATCCATTGCTTCTTCCAGATACAAGTGAAAACATTTCAAATATTTTTTCACTGGACAACATAAAAAAATTGTGTATTTCCAAGAAAGATGGTATTAGGTGCTTAAACTTTAAAGTCTGCTTAGTTTGTAGAAATAACCTTTTAGATATTTGATCTACTTTGGGTTAAAAATCCAATAAGATTTGTTTTTCTTCTGTAATAATCAAATTGAGCCTTCTGAAGCATTCCGCAATGGTGGTTGGTGGCCATATGCAAAAATCAATTACATGTCAGATGGACCTAGAGGGTATTATGCTAAAAAAGTGAAACATGTCAAAGATAAATATCATATGATTCCACTTACATGTGGAGTATTAAAAACAAAACAAACAAAAACCTAGAAACTGACTCAAATACAAACTAGTGGTTGCTGGAGTGGAGGGGTGTTGGGATATAGGCGAAATAGAAAGGGATTAAGAGGTAATAATTTCCATTTATAAAATACATAAGTTACAGGGATAAGAAGTACAGCATAGGGAATATAGTCAATTATGTTGTAATAACTATGGGAATTGATAGTAACTATACTTGTCATGGTAAGCATTTCATAATGTATATAAATACTGAATCACTGTGTTGTATACCTGAAATTAATGTAATATCATGTGTTGACTCTAATTCAATAAAAAAATTAATTAATTGAAACATTTTTAATTGAAAGTTCCACATATCAAGTAGTAATCATCCTTTGACTGCCAAAATGCCATATTATATCCCAGAATAATTGATGTTTTCTTTTGGGATTAGTCATTGCTTATTGAAAAAGCTCTGTATAGGCCAGAACAAACAAAAAATTCTCAGAAAACCTAAGAAATATAATGGCTGAATTCTCATCTCATCAGGGGTTAGTCTCCTTTCTTTTTATCCTACTTTTTACCTGAGTTTTTAAAAAATTCATCTGCCCAGTTTTAACAGTAGAAAAAAGAAAAGACTGTCAGCATATTCCACTCTAAAAATAGTAGGAAAATTTGTCTTTGATCTTTATCTGAAGCCAGATATGCAAACAAAATATCTAAAAGAGTGTATATATATATGAACAGAATCTCCACCAAGTGCTCAATTGAAAGCCATGTCCTCAGAGAGAACTACTCAGTATAAGACGTTGGTACACCATTATTATAAAGGACTTACTCCCTTTGTACCTTAAGCCACTGGAAAGAAACACATGATCAGCTTTCCTTAATCATATCTAACATCCTTTCCACTAAGAGATAAACCCAGTAATTATGTCAACCCATACACAAAGCCAATTAATATACCTCATAATTTTAGAATTTTGATCAGGTGTATTTTAGCAGTTTTTCTCAATTTAGAGTTGCCCAAGTCATTTAACCAGAACAGAGTTTCTTCTTAGCCCTTTCAAATTCCCACATAACTTTTAGATTCAACACCATGTGAAGACTGATGGGATTATGTAGATTATAATTTTAGATTATAAGAATCTCAGATTCAACACTTTGAATAGATTTGGTATTGTAAACAGTCCTAGCACTGTATTTGTTTCATATCCTTTTCCCAAATAATCCTTTCTCCACACCTCTGCCTGGCAAAAATCCTACCTATTCTTCAGAGTTTGACACACCTACCTCTTTTTCCATTAAGCATTTGCCATCCCCACATCAGAATTTGGCTTTGTTAGTATTTCTTTCAGCTAATGTCACATTCTATTTAATAGTACAGTTACTTGTAACATATAACATACCTGACTCTGACCAGATTATAAGGTCCTTGAGAGCAAAGACTGTCTCTTGATCATCTTTATATCTCCTCCAGCCGTACCTGGCAGATAAGTTTGCATATAACAGCTTCCTGGTAAATGTTTATTGAGATAAAATGAAATAAGCATTTGCATGACCATGTAGTAAGTGAAAATGGTACCTTCTACATTCCTGAAATCATGCTAATCAAAATTATCCACTTACAAATTATGTTCTTTTGATAACTAATGTGTTAAGACTATAATATAAATTATCTGGACCATAAGTGCTTGATAGCTTGTTACACCAAGAAAATGAATATCATAGTTCCTTAGTTTCATATTTGCCACCTCCAACATTGTTTTTACCCCCATGGAACAGTTTTCCTCAGTTTAATTACGTGAATTCCTTGTTTAATTCCAGCACTGTATCAAGAACTGCCTCCAGAGATAAAGGAGCGATCCCCTCCTTTAACCCCCAAGGAAAAAACCAAAATGGAAAAACCTTTTTCAGCTTTTCAAAAGGTAAATGTTTTCAAGAATATGTATTGCATTTCTACTTTGATTTTCACTTTCTGGATGAAATACTATTTTATTTTTCATGCTTATATCCTTCATTATTTACATTGTTATTTCTTTTAGTATTGGCACCAACATTATGAAATACATAAGGCAAATATCATTATAGCCATTTTCCAGATAAGGAAACTGAGGAGGCTCAGAGATATTGAAGTAGACCCTCAACTCACAGAGACTTGGTGGAATGAGGGTCCTAGTGGAACTTGCGATTCTATTTCCATCCTACACTTGTTTCTGTGATGGTGAAACTGACACTGTCATATCCCCACCAGGGGGTACACATTTATGCCAAAGGTCCTTGGAAGCCACAAATTAAATATGTTCTGTCTTCTTAGGGCATTCCTTTTACTTGCTAGTGATTCAAAATGTTTTCAGGTTAGAACAAATGTGGACATGCTATCGCTCAGAGAACTGTTAATGTATTTTAGGTTGTGCTTTCAAATCCCTCAGGATATTACTTGTGGAACTTACTATATGACATTAGTTCTTACCTTGGACTTAATAACTTTGCTTCTTCATGATATCCATGAACATATTTATTTATAAAATATATATGTATAATTTTCTTTTTACAAATACCATGTTATGATGGAGTGTCTTGACACTTGAGCCTGTCATGTATCATTCAGTCATTCAGCCTGTATTTATTAAGTGCTTAGTGCCACGCTGAGAACTCTATTAGTCTGCACTGAAAGAGGATGGAGTATCAAGGCTCTAGGCCTTGAGGAGCTTAGACTGGTGGGTGAGATACCTGCAAGCAGGTAGGTAGTTCCAAAAGACTATGGTAGGAACTGTAATGAAGATATGTACATAATGCACTGGAAACACACAGGAAGAAACGCTCCAAATCTGCCCTGGGGAGTCCAGGAATAGTTCCCTGTGCTTAAGCTGAGACTTATAAGATGAAAGAGTATGTGCTGGGTAAAAGACCTTAGGAAAAAATATTCTAACAGAGGGAATAACTTGAATAAGGTGTGGTATGGTATGGTTATGATCAGGGAGCACAGGATCCTATGGAGAGACAGATAAGAGAAAGCAGGAGTCAGGCCATGGTGAGTCTGCGTACTCTGCTAAGATGCCTAGATTGTATCCTTCAAACAAAGGGGATCCCTTAGGGAAGGCAATCCTAGGAATTACACATACAAATTTGCATGTTAAAAATATTATTCTAGTGACAGCATGTTGGTTAGATTATAAATATCTAAGACCTGGGACAGGGATATTAGTTAGTTATCCTTGAAATAAAATATAAAAGCCTGTATTAGTGGGGATGGAGGGGAGGCATCATAAGGTATAATTGGCAGGATTTTATGATTGGTTGAATGTGATTAGTGAAGTTGGAATCTAGGATTGTGCTAAGGGTCCTGGCTTATTATATAACCAAATGGATAGTGATACCACAGAAATAATAAAAGAATAAGGAAGATTTGGAGAAAAACAGGAATGGTGTGGAGTATAGGCTGTGATGAGTTCAGTTTTAGATATCTTGATTAGTAGTGTTTGTAGTGGTCCATTCACTACAGAGCCAGAAATGCAGGGTTGGAATTTGAGGGAAGGGAGCACTTCAAAATAAAATGGGAAGGAGTTAGTGTATTTATTTTATTATATCAGTAGAGCTGAAGCTTGTAGTGGAGAAAACCCAGAAAATTCTGAGAAAAGAAGGCCAAGGACAGAATCCCAGTTGAACACTTTTGGAAGTATGTAAGGAGTAATCAGAGGAAGAGGAGATGATTAAGAAAGAATAATAGAAGTGGAAGGGAAGGAGCAGAAGAAAAAAGTGCTCTGGAAGCCAGGGGAGAGAGAGTTTCAGAGGGAACAGTAACTGGCGTCCGAGACAGCCAGTCAGCTAGGTTGTCTAAGCACATGGTGATCAGGACGACCCTGGCACTTCAGTGATAGTATCAAGGGTCAATACTATACAAGGATTGAAGAGTGCAACAGCAGTTCCTTGGCAAGGAACTCACAGAAGTCATTCCCATAGCTTCACTTGAAGAAAATAGCTCAGGCACTAGCTGGAGGGAGACCTGGCTCCAGGAATGACTTTTTAAATACTGGAGTGACACATAAAAATTTATACTAAGGAGACAAAGCCAAAAAATATGTTCAAATTGAAGATAGATGAAGAAAGCACAGATGGATCTTGAAGGAAGCAGGTTTTTCTCAGTAAGACAGGTTGATAGATTATCTTGACTTGGAGGAGTGGTTCTCTACTGAGAGTGACATTGCCTCCCAGGATGCTTTGGCAAGGCCTAGAAACGTTCTTGCAAATATTTGGGAAGAAGGGAGTACTCCTGGCATCTAGTGGGCTGAGGTCACAGATGTTGCTCATCATCCTAAATGCACAGAACAGCCCCTATCAACAAAGGATTATCTGACCAAAAATATCAGCAGTGCTGAGCTTAGAACAGTACCTCTGAGATGGGTAAATGTGAAAGAGGATACAGATAAGCTGATAGGTTGATATCCTTAATCTAAACATTAAGGATATCTTTATGTTCTCCAGTACAGAAAGTCCACTGAGGGTCAGAGGAGTGAGATAGGCATAATAGTGACCATTAAAATATTTGTAAGGACAGTAGGAGCAGGAGCTTATTTAGGACATACAAAGATATTCCTGAGTAGTTTTGGAAGCTGCTGTTTGGATACCATAGAAATGTAGTTGGCACATTCTTTGTAGTTGGATTTTTTTCTTCAGTAGTGCTCAGCATTGGCCATTGCAGTGGAGAAGGCAGGTTTGGTTTGATACATAATTGGAGTTGTGGGTGAGATAGAGGATAAGAGACTGATAGCATTGGAAAGAGAGTGTCTGGAGTGGCCCACATGGAGGATCAGCCAGATGGGAAAGGGTGCGGAATCAGAAGACTGGCTGGCTTAGAAAGCAAGGTTCTCTGCAAGGTAGCAGTAAGCCACCCATGCCCAGAAGGGCACATAGTGTTACACACTAAAGGAGTTAAGCTAGAGCTATGGTCTCTAAGTCCATAAATTCTTTTGCTTATTAAGTATTTCAGATGTCAAGCATCTCAAGGTTATGATAAATTAATAGAGTTGTGTATAAGAGCTGATGGGAAATTGGAGGACGTGTTACTAGAATTGAGCTGGCCAAGGTGGCAGGACCCAGGGTATTGGACAGGTTGTTCTCTTGGACATTAAAAGTCCAAGATGATTGTAAGAATTGGGATGAAGGGAACACTGATGAATCAGGGGCTGAAGTCCTTAGTTCTTGTATTAGAGCAGATGTCTCAACCTTGCTTCACATTGAAATCACCTAAGAAATTTAAAAACTAAGCACTGATGCCTGCTCCTATACCCACAGGTTGTTTTAATTGGTCTGGAATGGGACCTTAGCATGCAGTAGATTGCAAAAGCTTTCCAGGTGATTTTAATGTGCAACATTAGCCACTGTGTTAGAGTGACCACAAGGTCCAAAGGTAACAGCTGCAAAGATAAGTAGACAGTGTTATAGCCTGGTGTCGAGGCATCCAAGGAGTGCTTTGAAAGTCTCATAGCCTAAAATCAGCAACAGAGAGCTGAGAGGAGGTCAGTGTTAACTCCAGGCGCCTGGAGTCCATGTCTAGTTATATGTGAGAATGAACAGTTTGTGTTTGCAAAGAACTGAAAGAAAACTGCTTTTTCAGTAAAACGCCAGTTACAAATACAGCAAGGGTAAATGGTTGCCTCTGACAATACGGGAACTACAAAGGACACAGTAGAAAGGATTGGCAAGGAATTTGACTATGGGCAAATGCTAATCGTGTAATATGGCCCATTGTTTGGAATTCAACACCAGATTTAAGAATTTAGGAAGATGCTAATGTAAATCTGCAGCTTAAAGATACTTGATGCAAAGAAAGCATTTATAACATTGGCAGAGGGAGTCACTGGGACAACTATAGTATTTGTGGTCTGTGTCAAGTACTGTGCAAGACTCTATGAAAGAAACAACTTTTACTTGTAGTGGCTTACTGATACCCCTGACTGTGCATTGTCCTGACCTTTGAAGCTGGTGTTCCCTAACCCCACTTCTGTGCGTGATGACCAGTAGCCTTGAACTAAGTCTCCCTCAGCCAAAGCAGATGTAAAGAACGTGTCAGTGTTTTACTGGTTTTCTATGAGGCAAGGCATTATCCCCTGCTCCTCTTGAAGCAACTGTGGTCCTCCAACTAGAGACGTCTTACCTGCTTCTAAGACCCACAGTTTTTCACTGCCTGTGCCACTCCTGTACTTAGAAAAACTCACTGCATCATAGGCTTAATTTAGATTTAGCTGATTTTTTAATCCTGTGTTCCTTTTCCTCTCACAGACCTATCTCCATGCTTAAAATATACCTTCAAACTCATACCGCAGCAGACCAATTCTTCACATATCCAGCTTGATCTATGAGATCTGCTTTGTGCCAATTCCACTGCTGCCCAGACTCATAGATCTCAAGAAACTTGCAAGCGTACAAAGCAAAACATTTAAAAACTTAAAATAGATAAAGCAAGGAAAATTACAGAGGATGAGAATCTGCTTGGGCAAGGGAGAAGCAAAGTGCTCATGGAGAAGATAGACTCGAATTGGGCTTTAAACTTTAAGATGCATGGATTTCTTTTGTGTTTTATCTGAATCCATGTGTTAGAATAGAATCCTGCGTATATTTTTCCTCTTAGGAAGGTACCACATGTATAGTTAGACAATGTTTTACTTCCCTGTGGAAGAAAGTATAAACAATAATTTATGCTTATACAAAAAGAAGGCCCTGAAAAACATTAAGGTTTTCCCAAGTAATCAGAATGCCTTGGGTACACTCTGAGTCATGATGTAAACAACCAGCTTTTGAAAAATGTGTAACTAGGCTTCCTTAACACCTGGTATAGTTGCATTTCTTCACTTCCTTTATCAGAATATATATGGTTTGATTTTATCAAGATCCTGCCTTTAAACCTACCACAAATTCTATCAAATGTTTAATTTCATGTGCAAGTTTTATTTTTATTATCATATGTAAGATATGTTTAAAAAAATAAAAAGATGAAAAGTAGTCTCTGATAAGTGACTAGAATGGGAGGGTTTCCTAAATTCATAGAATCACAGTTGGTGACATGAAAGGGACCTTAGAGATCATGAGACGAGAAGGTGATTCTCGTCAACTTCTTCATTTTACAGATGAGAAATCAAGATCCAGAAAAGCTAGAGGCTCATTCAGAATGACCCTCCCACTAGACTCTTGGCCTCTGTGTTCTCAGGCCAGTGCCCTTTTTCCTCCACCACAACAGACACACACACACACACACACACACACACACACACACACACACACACACACACACACACACACGCAGATGTTACCTGCACTGCTGCCACATTTTGTGTCATACTGGTTTTTTCCGTACCTGTGTTATGTTTATTCCATTGTATCCTTCTTTGTGTCTTTAGAAGAACTATACTACTTTAGAAGAACTGTACTTCTTTAGAAGACATGAAGTCTTTAGAATTGTATTCTTTCTACTTTTTAAGGAAAAAAGGAGAGAAACCTCCTTAATAGTTTTTTTTTAATATCTATTCAAGCTGTAGAATAAAAAGTAAAATTATACCTCTCATGAGCTTGGCAGCTGCTGGATCTTACAAATTCTTCCAAGTGGAACACACCTGTTCTGTTGCTGACTGTGCCAGGTACCTCCCCACATTTCATCTGATTCATTGAAATGTTAGTCGGCAATGGCAACATTTGGCTGTTCATGGCAGGAGGAGACGAGGCTGGAGCTTGTTTTTCTCCATGATAAGCCAGAGAGTCCCCGAACAAAGCAGAAATTACCTATACCACAGGGAAGTGAGAGCAGGAGAATGTTTTCCTCAAGCTTATTACAGAGCATTTTTATTACAGTGTGCTATAAAGTTGCATATAATAGAGAAGGAGAGCTATCTGAGAGGAAAGAAACTCAAGCTTTAAAAAGTAATACTGACAACCTTGATTTATTTGTGTTTGTATTTTCAACCTTTTCTTTGGGCTTTTTGTTTGTGTTAGCCTAAACAATAACCTACTGCATTCACTTATTTGTGGGGAGGGGGAGTTGTTAAAATTCATTTTTTTAAAAATTTTTAATTATTTTAAGTTGTACTATTAAAGTAATATATGCTCGTAGTTTAAAAAATTCAACCAATAAATAGTGTGTGTAAATGACAAAACTCCTCTATCCTGCAAATAGTCATGTTCACTAATTCTTGCCTGTCCTGCTGAAAGTATTGTCTGCATATGTAAACATACATATTTTAATTCATATCTGTTCATTGTTTTGATGAAACTAGAATCATTGTTAATATTCTAATTTTTTCTTCCATCAGTATATATTGAGCATATTTTCTTACAGCACAGACAATTCTTTTTTAACAGCTTCAAGGGTATTGAAATGCCCAATTTTCTTTTTTTAATTCTTCAAATGCCCAGTTTTTTTTATTTCTGAAAATGCTTGCTTTTATTTGTTTTATTTCTAAAAAGTGAAACCCAAAGTAAACCCCCCCTCCAGAAAAAGTACTTTCTACCTTCTGTAAATGTTTCAATATTGACACAACCAAGTATATTTTTCCTAAGTGCCAGAAGTAATTATGCACAGGAATGTTAGGTTATTTCTGTGAATGTGGAAAAATTACTGTGATGTTTTTGCTTATGTCTTTCCCTAAAAACTCATTAAATGGATAATAGGTATTAGCTTTGCTATTCCAAGATAATTACAAAAATATCCATTATCACTCATCTCTTTATATGCAAAGAGTATTTTAAATTTTCAGTATTTTACTTAGCACATAGAGAACAGGACAGGTTACTTCAAAAGAGCTGGCTCCTAAACCAAAATGCATACTCCAGTTATATTTAAGAACAGCTATTTTCTCATCTAGTTCAAAACAAGAACAGAGAACTCAAAACATCAGATAGCTCAGTGGTAGTTCCTCTTCCAGCCAAACGCACATGCAAAATTTTACAAACTTTTACATTAGTAATTCTGTCAACCTCTCAGTAAAACAGTAGGCAGGAAAAAAAAAAGCCTTCAATGGGTGTGTCTTACTGTACAAAATATCTAATTTTCATATAATATTCTGATTTTTTTCTTCCACCGATTTTAATTCTAGGAGTAGGCAATTTATTAAAGCCTGGATTAAATTACTACTTTCAAAAACTACTTCCCATAGAAAAATTTTCTATTTACTAATCCTTGTACCAAGATTGCATCTGAATTATTCTTAACCATAGGAATAATATGATTTTATTACTGTGTTAAGTACTACATGTTTATAACAGACAGTGGTTATTGGGGTATGGTGATGTGTCTCATGAAGTCATTGCAGACAGCACTGATATGTATTTCTTTTTTCCATAACTTAGAAATATTTTGACGAAAAAACATTAATTTAAAAAAATACTATTTACATTTGAAAAACATCTCTTAATCTATAGGATTACATATCCCAGAAAGAAAGTGGGTGGGAGCCTAATAAGGTAACACCACAGCTAGCATGAATCACTTCCCACGCACAGATTCCACTCCCAACAATAAAGTCCCTAAGTAATGTACTGGAAGAACTCTAAAAACTTCCAGAATATCTTTTACCCTGGAAGGAACCCGTAATGTCTGACCTTTTAAAGATCTGATGTCCAGTTTTGCTGCTACTTCTCCTGTTACACCCTTGCCTCAGCCCATTGTATTTGCCATGTGTACTTGAGCCCCTGCTTTCTCTTCCCCACAGTAGCTATGTTTATTGTTGCTGTGGGCAATCCCCCTCCATATATCCAGGACCCTCTTACCATCAACAGACTGAGCCCCAGACTGTTGGTCTTCTCAGTTTATCGAGTCCAAGAGCAGTACCTAGATCATTGCCCATGATTCTGAAATGAAGAGGCTGCAAGAGAATCCCCCTGTAGTCTCCATTCCAAAACTAGGTTGGAGAATGTGTCACTTCCTCTTCCTAACTCCTGTTACTTGAAATTTACACAAAATAACGTACAGGTAGAATTGTTTTCCAATTTAGCAACCACTCTGAGTCTCTGAGCCCAGCCTCTATCACATCTCATTTTCTTATATAGATCTTCCAGGAAAACACAGTTCAGACAGTAATATAAATTCTCAGTAAAGATTTCACAATTGTTCCAATAAGCCATTGATAAATATTTGTGAGACATTCCTTCATGACTTTGAAAATGTGAATATGGTTTTTAATCTATGAATAATGAATATACATAAAAGTATAAAATAAGTGATGTTGTACTGGGTCAAACCAAAGTTCAACTTAGCTCAATACTCTCTTTTTGACTTTAAGAGTTGTTTGATGATTTTTCTTCATGATGATATTTTCCTAGGTTGACCTAAATACCAGTAACATGCCTCTAATAATCTATTACAGATTTAAAATGTGAAAGATGTTATTGGCAGAACTTCCCACTAATCATTCCTAGTCATAAATTGCCCTTTAGATAATGACAGGATTGCTTATTATAAGTCACCCTGCCTTCTGACTTGGCAGTCAGCATGTCCTTTCTTTGGAAGGTCTCTGACACCCTAACTCTGCCGTCCTCTTGGCTTGTTAAGCACTCCAGGGTTTCTCAGCTCTGGCTCTGCTGGCATTCGGGACTAGAATTCTCGGTTTTGAGGCAGTATGTTGTGCATTGTAGGATGCTCAGTAGCATCTCTGGCCTCTGTCCACTAGATGCGCTAACCCCCTCCAGTTGTGACAACCAAAAAATATCTTCCAAACATTGACAGTTTCCCCTGGGGCTCAGAATCACCACATGCTCCCCTCCAACCCCAGGTGAGAACTACTGCTTTATTTTAATAGGAAAAAATATATAGTATTGTGTGGTAAATATTTACATATCTATTATATCCACATATATACATTGCATATGTAATATTTTATGTATATTTACATTAGTATTCAAATGAGTTTTTCCTTAACTTAAAAGTTGAAAGGAAAGGAGCCACACACAGCAGCAATTCACTGGAGAATTCCACTTTATTAGGGAAAGATGCTGGGTTATATAGGAAGGGGCATGAGCTGATTGAGGTGTCACTTCTTTGGGCCTGGTGGCTGTTGGCTAGATGCTGGGACTGGGAGGGGAGTGAGAGGTGATTGGGCTTCAGGTGGCACCGGTGGGAACTGAGGACTCCGAAGAGAAGCTGGAAGTTCGCCATCTTACTGGTGGGGGCCCTTCATTCCCCCCTTTCTCGTCTATGGGGCTGTGGACATTGCTTTCTCTCTGACTGCTTCCTGCTGAACGGGGGCAGAGAAGGGAGTGAGGGCTTGAGGATTGGGAGGAAAGGGTTGATAGGACTCCCCACAGTAAGGACGAGTAGGTGTGGACTTCTTCAGATTGGAAATCAATGAAGGTTCCCTGTAACCATAGGTCGAGGACCTGTTGATTCCAATGGTGCCAAGAGGATATGGGTGTCAGGAGCCAGGCGTCTGCAGCCATTGTTTCCAGTAACAGTTTACAGTGGGGAGAGGGGTCCATCTCAGCGTGTGGTGAGGAGGTTACGTGAGGGTGAGGGATCTTCTGTGGCCAGAAGCTGGTAGTTCCTAGTAAAAGCTGGTTGAAAGCTTGATTAGAGATTTTT